CAGTCACCAATGGTTTCACAAGAGAAATGATACGGGACGGATTAACCACAGAATCACAGGAATAAAGATTCTTGAAAAAACCATTAGTGATACCTTTTATTTCATCCATATCCTGAGAGAGAGACCCACCTCTTCTTTTGATGGCAGAAATATTATTTTTCTTCGCTCTCCAAGTGGCCTTCCTATGAAAAAAATTTGTGTTCCTATATCCCCATTTCATTTTATTCAGACATGATCTCTGCTTCCACATAATTTCTTCCTTTAACAGGAGCTCATCCATTTCCTTTAAAATTTTCTTCCTTTCTACTATTGCTTTATGATCACTTCTGTTAAACAACACACTTAGTCTTTTGCGAGCAGATTCAAGTTTTTTTGGCAAATATCCAATGTGAACCTGACTCCACCCATGAAGAGACTTCATCAACTTGTCCAGATTATTGGCAACATCTCCCAGATTATTGACTCTAGCATTATTATTCCAACACGAATCAATCTGTACTTGCAGCTCCGCATCTTCCCTCTCCCAATACGCTTCATATTTCAAATGTTTAATAAATGTGCCAGAACGAGGAGCTCCCATCAATTCAATAAGAAGAGGGCAATGATCTGACCTGGAACTGATAATATGCGTTACCTTGCAGTCAGGAAAGATAGATGACCATTGGGGGCACGCCACCGCCCGGTCCAGCCGCACCTTCACATTCTTGTTACCTTCCTGCTTATTGTTATAGGTCCAAGGAACTCTATGAAAACCCAAATCAAACAAGTTGCATTCAGACATGATCTCACGAAAATTAGCCATAAGTTTTGGTGACCGTTTGATCCGAGAAAAATGCTCATCTTGCCACATAGCCTCATTAAAGTCACCAGCCATAAACCATGGACCCGACCCAAGAGGTTTTATACGCCTTAACAATTCCCACATAACATACCTTTGGCTCGCCTTCGGCTCCCCATAGATAAAAGTGCATCTCCACTTAGTGCCAGCATCGTTGGAAATGTACATGTCAATAAAATGTTCCCCATATTTGTTTAACTCCAAAGTGTACAGGTCATCCCAATAGACCGCTAATCCACCTCCTTTGCCTGGCATAGAAACAGCAAAAACATTTTTCATACCCAAGCGGTAGCGCAAACTCTCAACATACTCTTTATTTTTTCTTGTTTCAGAAAGAAAGATAATGTTAGGCCGCTGTGTCTTTGAAAGGCACACAAGTTCTTGAACTGTCCGAGGCTGACCTAAGCCTCGGCAGTTCCAACATATCATTTTCATGGCTCCTGACGGGCGTCATCAAGTGCGCCCGTCAGTTGACCGGCAGCCCCAGGGCCGGTAGCTTCCTTGCTTATACCCCTAATTTCCTTACCATCGCCTACGGACTCTCTCCTATTTTGATCCTCCTCCTCTCCCTCAACTATATCCTCTGTAATATGAACAGCGGAGCCTTCTATGCCTACTACAGATTCAACTCTCTCAACACATACTCTTTTACATGTCACACTCATATCTAGAGCACCCCTAAACTCTATGCTATCAGTACTGGAGCTATTCATGCTAAGAACCATGTCCTTGTCTTCATCCGGTGAGCGCCTCTTGCTACCAGTCGTGCCCTCAAGCATTGCAGCAAAGGCCGCCTTGCCGCCGGAAAGATCGCTGCCGCTGTTCGGCGGAGTGGGGATGCCAAAAACCGCATGTTTAACACATGCGGCTTGCAGCATAACCTTCTCGTCCTGTTCTTGTCGGTGAAGCCTTTTCCACCGCTGGACTCCAGCAGAAGTGAGGGCTTGCCATTGGGCGCCAACATCAGCACCATCGTCACGACCATCCTTGTGAATGGCCACCTGAACCTGAGCTTCGCCCTCAAGCCGCTGCAGCTGCACGCCCACAGCAGCAGCAGAAGCCAGGGACAGCTGGTGCCCCGGCTGTGCATGCACCTCAGCAGTTGCACCCCCAGCCTGCTCCTGAGGCCGCTGCTGCATAGGAACATCAGTAGCATCACTCGCCTGGTCTTGGATCAGAGCCATAGAGGCCCTAGCAGGATCATCCAAATTCCTCTTGTGTCCACCTCCATCCGCAGGAGATGACCCAGGGGTGACCAGGTTGATGTTGAGGCGCCCCCCTAGGCACATGAAGTTGAGGATGATCAACTTGGCTTGCCACCAACTGGTTCGGGGGCGCCGGCAACCCCTCCTGGGTACCCGCATCCCCCGCCACCTTTCCCGCAACATCTGAAGAAGGACCCGAGCCTGCCGCAGCCACTGAAAGGTTGCGCACAGCCTTGGAAACCGCCGAAATGACTCTGTCCGACAACTTTGCCCCGGTGCTTTCGAAGTCGAGGAAGCGCTTCCAGTGCGGCGGCGCCTTCATGTCGATGGAGAAGTTTGGCTTGCGCAGTTCCTTTGGCATGCTGCAGAATATTTCCGTAGTGTGGCCCAGGATGCCACAACAGAAACAAAAATTTGGAAGTTTCTCGTATTTCACCTTAAACGTGATCTCGTCCTTGCTGCCGACCGGAGTGAACCCAACTTCCTTCTTCAGCGGCGTCTCCACCTTATGCTCCACTCGAATGCGGAGATGATCGTCAAGGATCATCTTGTTCCGGTGGGACACCGCGATGACCTTGCCGAGCTTCTTGCCGAAAGTCCACCCCATCTCCTCGGTCTTCAACACGAAGGGCAACTTGTGGATTTGTGCCCACAATCTGATGGAGTTGAGGTCGACCTCCGCTGGGTTGCCCTGGCCGTCGAAGTCGGCGAAGATGACGGCGTCGTTGTGGAAGTGCCAAGGACCAGCAGCCAGGACATGCTGCCGATCCCCCTCCTCCGTGAACTCCACCATGAAGCGTTTGTCGATGCTCGTGACCATCTGGGCCCTCGCATCACCACGAAGCCGCCAGGGTCCTTTGAGCTCGTTGACGACGGCCGAAGGATTGGCTGGGTACGGGGAGAGCACTCGTCCCACAGCCAGCTTTCCCTTGACCGCACTCACCATTGCCTCCATGTCGATGACGATTGGCGAGTCATCGAACTCGACCATCTTGGCCTTGCCATGCCTGCGGAGAGGAGGAGGGCGCTCCGAAGCAGAAGTGAAGCCAACGGAGGGGTTCGGGGGAGTGGTCAGGGCTAGCCTGACGGACCCCCGACATCACTCCTTCCCTTTCCGACCGTGGGCGTGGCTGGGGTCGCCGTTGGCTGCATTGCGGCCGGCCCTTCCTCAGGGGTTCTGGACCCAGCACCACCATCACCCGACCCAGCAATGGTCAGGT